TGAGACGTGGAGAGCGCCGACCCCTCTTGAGACGTGGAGAGCGCCGAACCCTCTCGGGACTTGGAGGGCGGCGAGACCAGAAGAGCCGGAGCGGGCGGCGAGACCAGGAGAGCCGGAGCGGGAACCGGAGACAAAGCTGCAGCTGGAGAACCAGAGACCAGAGACGGAGCTGCAGCTGGAGAACCAGGAACCCGAGACAGAGCTGCAGCTGGAGAACCAGGAACCCGAGACAGAGCTGCAGCTGGAGAACCAGGAACCAGAGACAGAGCTGCAGCTGGAGAACCAGAGACCAGAGACGGAGCTGCAGCTGGAGAACCAGGAACCAGAGACAGAGCTGCAGCTGGAGAACCAGGAACCAGAGACAGAGCTGCAGCTGGTGAACCAGAGACCTGAGATGGGACTGCAGCTGGAGAACCAGAGACCAGAGACGGGGCTGCAGCAGCAGGTGATGGAGAAGCCATGAACCCCTCCCTTCGCGAAGCTCTCCCCTTCTTGCGCTGGGTTCGGGGAGGACCAGCAGTTTGCCCCCCTCTCTCCGATGATTGCTTGGCCCCACCAGGTGGAAAGCGAGGAGGAGGTGGGCAGTGGGGTGCAGTGGCGCGGTGAGGTGGAGAGGGACGGAGAGGCTGTGAGGACCCAGGTTTAATGGCCAGACGGGTCCCCCAAAATGGATTCCTCCTCTCCTCCCTTTCTCTGTCTCTCTGGGCAGTCTTCTCTGCCTCACGGGCAAAAAACTCAAACAGAGTCATCATCCTCCCGCTGGGTTCAGGTCCGGTCATTGATGATTGCTTGGCCCCACCAGGTGGAAAGCGAGGAGGAGGTGGGCAGCGGGGTGCAGTGGCGCGGTGAGGCGGAGAGGGACGGAGAGGCTGTGAGGACCGAGGTTTAATGGCCAGGCGGGTCCCCCAAAATGGATTCCTCCTCTCCTCCCTTTCTCTGTCCTTCTGGGCAGTCTTCTCTGCCTCATGGGCAAAAAACTCAAACAGAGTACTCATCCTCCCGCTGGGTTCAGTTCCGGTGATTCTGTCACAATCCTCAGTGTTGGAACCCAAATGCAGAGAGGCGAGCGAGGCAGGAGTTCAAAAACAAAAACAATTTATTTCAATAACAAAACAAAAAGCTGTCGGTGCAGCAAAACTTACTTGGGCAACAGGATCAGGAACAAGGCAGAGCAGATGATCAGGTGGACAAGAAACAGACAAGACAGAAGAGGACTGAGATGTCTGTAAACACAGAACAATCACCGGACAAAAAGTGAAGGAGAGACAGGCTTTTTATGAGACAGAGGGAGAGTGAGTAACGAGAGCACCTGGGCAGGTGGCTGATGAGGGACAGGTGTGAATGATAAAGATTGAGTGGAGAGGCAGATTGAGGAGTGAGTGGAGAATAACAGAATCAGATAAACAGAAAATCACACACAGAGCAGAACAACAAAAATATAAAGAGCAGACAGAGACAGAACCTAGAAATGGAAGGAAATGATTTAGTTTGTGGGATGATTGTTTGAAGATATAAATGTTGGTTCCTGGTTGCAGCTTGAAGGAGAAGCTGCCCCCCCATCTGCTTAAGCAGATGGGGGGGCAGCGGGGCCGCTGACCGTGACAGTTGGTTCCTGGTTGCAGCTTGAAGGAGAAAGCAGAGGCTTAGGCAGATGGGGGGGGGCAGCGGGGGCCGCTGACCGTGACAGTAGGCATTGCTTCCAATGGCTTCTGGAACTGCTTCAAAATCTGTAAGGATTAAGAATTAAGATTACCGTAAAATCAATATAATTACAATTAGAATGATTCCCCAAATAACAATATAAATTGTATGAAACATTATGTTTAACAATAAATTCTCATCTCAATTAACCAAATCATGTTAGGTTTGATGTGTGATTTT